AGTCACGTGGGAGTGTCCAGCGCCTTAACCACCACTGCTGGTCCCTCCTGTTTTTTTTTTTTGAAAGACATTTTGCTATAGGGCACGTGTGCTCACCAGAGAGAGACAGAGAGACAGAAAGCAAGAAATCGCTCCCCCTCAGGGGCTGGCCACACTGCAATCCCTTCTCCTCCATTCTCCTCTCAGGATTTTGGGCATGCATACATACATGCCCAGCATGAGTTTCAAGCCACCAGGTCTGAAACTCGAACTGTCATTGAGCATGTGGGAGTCCAGCACCTTAACCACCATGCCACTTGCTGGCCCCCACACTCCTGTTCTTTTGCCATTGCTCCCCTGCACTGAATGAGACTCTGCAGAGAGACCCCAGCAACAAGAAGACTCACCAGATGCGTCCCTTTGACCTCGAATCTCTAAAACCATGAGCTAAATAAACCTCTCTCCTTTCTAAATCACACAGACTAAGGTATTTCTGTATTGGCAGCAGAGGAAGAACTAAAATGGAGTAAAATTCAAAAGGTAGGGAAAAGCACAGTGTGAAAAGCCTCCTTCCTATATTTATCTTGTGAATATTCATTCTGTCTTCCCAGAGGCAACCAAAATTATCATCTTCTTATGTTTACTTCCAGAGACATTATTTTCATATGAAAAGGCACACATAGTACACATGCATGTCTGTCTGTGTCTACATACAAACCAGTAATGCGCCACTAAGGGACTGAAAGGTCAACGGGGCGCGCAGGGATGGCGGCCGTTCCTGAAGTCCGGTAGGCAACGTGTGCAGGGTCCCTCTAGGGTGTCCGCACACAGAGATCACCTAATGATGCATGTCTCTAATGTATCCCTGTGTTAATTAGTGCATGACTACCTATGTGTGTACACGGAGTGTGTGCGTGTGAGTGTGTGTGTGTGTGATCTTAGATTGCTATTGTGTTGCTAAGAAATATCTAAGATTGGGTGATTTATAAAAAGTAAAGGGTTAGGGGGCTGGCAGGTGGCATAGCAGGTAAGAAGCTGGAATCCAGGACCAGCAGTTGGCGTAAAGGCTATGTCGCTGGACTCCCACGTAGTCGACTGTGGTTCAAGTCCCGGACCCGGTGGCTTAAACTCATGCTGGGCACGTGTGCGTGCATGCCCAAGATCCCAAGAGGAGAATGGAGAAGGGATTGTGGTGCGGCCGTCCCCCCGGGGGGTGATTTCTCGTTTTCTGTCTCTCTGTGTCTTTGTGTCTCTCTTGCAAATGCACGTGCCCTATAGCAAAAACCTCTCCAAAAAAAAAAAAAGAAGAAGAAGAAGAAGAAGCTGGAATCCCACATGTCTGTCTGTGGTTCAAGCCCTGAGCCTGGTGTCTTGCTTTTGCACTTTCTCTCTCTCTCTCTCACTGGTCAAATTAAAAATAAATAAATAAATAGGAACAACAACAAAAAAGGGTTGGGACCAGTCAGTGGCATGGTGGTTAAGTGACTGGATCCCATATGGCCTACTGCACTGTTGGAGTCCTGAACACAGTGGTTGGCAAAAACACACTGGGCAGGCTAACAGGTGGCGTGGTGGTTAAGGCGCTGGACTCCCACATGGCTGATTGCAGTTTGAGTCCTGGACCCGGCAGCTTGCTTTTTCACTTTGCCTCTCTATCTCTCTGGTCAAATTTTAAAATGATAAAATTAAATAAAGTAATTGTAAAACACACTCACACACACTAATACACACACACACACACACGGCATATGTGTGTGAGTGCGTACATGCCCAAAATCTTGAGAGGAGAATGGAAGAGAAGAGATTACAGCGTGACCAACGCCCCTGGGTGGTGCATTCTCATTTTCCCTCTCTTTCTGTGTTTCTCTTCAGCTAGCGCATGTACCCTATAGTAATTTTTCTTTTCTTTTCAGGGAGAGATTTTTTGCTATAGGGGGTGTGTGCTCATCAGAGAGATAGAGAGACAGAAAGCAAGACATCACCCCCCACGGGATGGCCACGCCACGGTCCCTTCTCCATTCTCCTCTCAGGATGTTGGGAATGCACGCACACGCACCCAGTGTGACTTTTAAGACGCCTGGTCCCGGACTCAAACCACAATCAACTACGCGAGAGTCCAACAACATAAACATTATGCCATCTGCTGGTTCTACCCTATAGCAAAATTTTCAAATTAAAAATTTAAAAAGTTTATTTGGTTTAGGATTGGGGCGGCCCAGAAGTCCAAAGGGTTGGCATCAGGCCAGCCACATTATACCATGGCCGACAGAGACAGATAAGGTGGCAGGTGCATAAAGACGTGGGGGCAGCCCCCTTCTTTTTATGACAACCCACCTTTTTTTTGAGAGAGATTTTTGCTATAGGGCACATCCACTCTCCCAAGAGACAGAGAGACAGAAAGCAAGAAGTCACCCCCAGGGGTGCTGGCATGCTGCCATCCCTCTCCTCCATCCTCTCCAGGGTCTCGGGCCTGCATGCACTTGCACCTGGTGTGATTTCAAGCTGCTGGATCTAGGACTTGAACTGTTGTTGGTCCATGGGGTCCAGGACCTCAACCTCTATGCCACCTGCTGACCTCCTTCCTCCCACTTTTTAAACAGAGTTGCTTGTCTAATATCTTCCTTTGTTCGTTAATGATGCTTCTTTCTCTTCTTCTTTTTTCCCCCTATTTTTTGTTCTTACAAACTTTTATTTTCCTCCAAATGTATTGTGTTTTTCTTTTTTCTCTCTTTTCTTTTTGGAGAGGTTTTTGCTATAGGGTGCATGCGCTCGCCAGAAAGACAGAGAAAGACAGAAAGCGAGAAATCACTCCCCAGGGGGGATGGCCACGCCGCAATCCCTTCTCCTCCATTCTCCTTTTGAGATCTTGGGCACGCACGCACATGTGCCCAGCGTGAGTTTAAGCCATCAGGTCTGGGACTCGAACCATAGTCCAGCCACTATACCAACTGCTGGTCTCTGTATTGTGTTTTTCTGTAATGATGTAAAAAGTCTTCATTTCCCTTTTCCAAGTGTTGAGGTTCAAAAAAGGCAAGGTCTCTGGGACCAGCAGGTGGTGTAATGGTTATATCGCTAGACTCCCACATAGTTGACTATGGTTCAAGTTCCAGATCTGGTGCCCTAAAACTCACACTGGGAATGTGTATGTGCATGCCCAAAATCCAGAGAGAATGGAGAAGGCATTGCAGCATGGCCAACCCCCCTGGGGAGTGATTTCTCACTTTCTGTCTCTCTGTCTCTCTCTGTCTCTCTGGAAAGTGGGCAAGCCCTATAGCAAAAAAAAGAAAGAAAGAAAGAAAAAGAAAAACCTCCAAAAAATGCAAAGTCTTAAACATAGACTAATCTTCATCTCTTTCAAGTCTTGAATGTTGACTTAGCTTCCTATGTAAGTATTTATATTAGTTTTCCTCAGGGACTTACACATATATATGTGTAATACATATTTATTTATACATAGATGCCTACACAGATATATACGAGGCTTTTTATCCTCATCTTACCGCTTGACAATGCACCTTTAAGTTTGTTTTACACAGCTGTTCCTTGGTCAAGGCCATTGGTAAGAACAAGTCGGTTTCTAAAGAAATCTTGTTTGGTGGGTGAAGGATCCATTGAGGGGTTCTCATTAGTTTTTCCCTGTATTCTGATCCACTGGACTTCTTTTTTTCTGGAGAGGTTTTTGCTACAGGGCGCGTGCGGTCGCCAGAGAGACAGAGAGAAAGAAAGTGAGAAATCACCCCCCAGGGTGGATGGCCACACCGCAATCCCTTCTCCTCCATTCTCCCCTTGGGATCTTGGGCACGCACGCACATGCACCTGGCGTGAGTTTAAGTCACCGGGTCCAGGACTTGAACTGTGGTTGACTACATAGGCGTTCAGCAACATAGCCATTACGCCAACTGCTGGTCCCCTGGACTTGTTTTTAAAGAACTTGCAGAAAGAGCTGTAAAAACCCCCTTTCTGGTCTTGCCTGGGATTTTTTTTTTCCCTTTGGAGAGGTTTTTGCTATAGGGTGCGTGTGCTTGCTAGAGAGAGACAGAGAGAGACAGAGAGACAGAACACAAGAAATCACCCCCCAGGGGCAATGGTCACGCCGCAATCCCTTCTCCTCCATTCTCCTCTCGGGATCTTGGGCACGCACGCACACACGCCCGGTGTGAGTTTAAGCCCCCAAGTCCGGGATTCGAACCGCAGTCGACTACATGGGAGTCCAGCGACATAGCCATTACGCTAACTGCTGGTCCCCCTGCCTGGGATTTCGATCACAGAGAGATGTTTGTTCACTCTCTCTTTCTTCCTTTGGACAAAATGTGGTGGTGTCTTCTAAGTGCATCTCCCTCCTGACTTCTAAGTAGGTCTGCTGCTCAGTGTGGGACCTCTGTTGGGGGAAGAAGGTTGGGGTGTGCCGTGTGTGGCTGTGGCGGGGCGGCCAGGCACGTGGCTGCCTGGTTGTCGACGTGCCTTAGATGCAGTTCCTATCAGTGCATATTTCCTCCGTCTGTGGACTTCGCGGCTACAGAGCATCCCGCTGGATGACTGAGCAGTATTTCATGTATCCGTTTTTGGTGGACATGTAATTTTGTCCGTGCGTTTGCAATCCTGATAAGTTCTACAAAATACCTTCCAGAGAGACGGGACTGGGTTACACTCCAACAAATAATCCGTAAGAGTCCAGAGAAGTACTTACCCTGAGTCTCAATGTCCTTATCTACAAAAAAAAAAAGCAAAACAGCACCTATTTCTTGCAACTGCGTTGAAGACTTTTTGAGATGTGTGTGTAAAGTACGGGGTTTGTAGGGGCGGGGGCTCTCTAAATAAGGAACTATTTCATTTTGGGTTAGTGACTACCGTCCTAGCCGGATAAACGGACATGAAGGGGCCTCCTCGTCAGCCCGGAGTAATCTGGTTAGGATGAGGGGCAGGCAGCAAGCACCTCGGCTCAGAAGAGTCGCGGGCGTGACGCTTGGCAGGAGTGTTGTCTCCAGGCACCTCAACCTCCTCCGTTTGGCTTTGATTCCCAGGTCTCTCCTGGCTAGCAAAGAAGGTTGAATCCAAAAAAGGCCAGTGGGAACACGGGTCCTTCCCCCTGGTCATCAAGGAGGCTGAGGTGAAAGACTCCGGGACTTACATCTGTGAAGTGGAGGGCGCGAAGAAAGAGGTGGAGTTGCTGGTGTTCCGACGTGAGTGGGGCAGACCTGGGTGAGGTCTCCAGCCCATCTCCCTTGCTCCCCTGCTCCACCCTGCACCAAAACCGGGTCCTAGGTTGGGGATACTGCAACCACCCAGAGATGGGTCAGAGGAGCCACCCATTCTCATCCCCTCCTCAGGCCGTGGGTCAGGCAGGGGTGGAGGAAGAGGCCTAGGGAGGGGAGGGGGGCATCTCAGCCTGGGGGTGGGTAGCTAAGTGTCAGGGATGGAGAGGCTGGGCCGAGGCTGCACTGTGGCTCTCCTGCCCTCTTCCCTGCTCCCTGGAGATGGCACATGTGGGTCTGCTCCCTCCACAGTGACCGCCAGCGCAGACCGGGTGCTGCAGGGCCAGAGCCTGACCCTGACCTTGGAGAGCCCGGTTGGCAGTAACCCTTTAGTGCAGTGGAAGAGTCCAGGGAACAGAAACCAAAACACCGGCAAGGCCTTCACGGTGACCCAGATGGGGACCCAGGAAAGTGGCACCTGGACGTGCACCGTCTCCCAGGACCAGAGGACCCTGGTGTTCAAGAAAAACATCGTCATGCTGGGTGAGGGGGCGCCTCGCGTGCCCGCAGCCTTCTCCTCTGTCCTCACCGCTCCGCCCTGGGCCTGGTGTGGGGGATAGAACAGTGAGTTTGGGAGGGGCCCCCTCATCCCCAGGGCACTGACGGACAGCCGCCCCTCGGGGTGATGGACATGGAGGGAGGCAGGCATGGGGACCTAGGATGTGAGAGGCCCTGAGACCCTGGGGGAGGCCCCAGGGAGGAGTGTCACAGGGTCTGGGTTCTTCGTGGCCTCAGCTCCCCACCTCTACCAAGTTGGCGAGGCCACTTACTCAGGGACACTAGCACCAGCAGCCAGCCATGGCGAAATTCTACTTGTACCTCTGTGACCCTGTGCGAGGCCCCGTGAGGACACGGAGCACCCAGAATGCAGTGTGGTGCTTGGGGACGTGGGCTGGCCCCATGGTTGAGTGGTTGGAGGAGCCAGATCCCACATGGCCAACCTTCGGGTTCAAATTTCAGCCTCAGTGGTTTGAAATACACTCCAGGCACGTGTGTGTGTGTGTGTGTGTGTGTGTGTGTGTGTGTTTGCCCCAAACCCCAACAGGATGGAGAAATGGAGAAGGGATTGTGGCGCGACCATGCTCCATTGTAGGGTGCCTGCTTCCTCTCTCGCTCGCTCTCTGATGCGAGCACACACCTTCTGGCAAAGTAAAAAGTAAATCCTGGCTCTGCCACAGCCATGTGACCTCGAGCAAGTTATCGAACCCCTCTTCGCACTTTGATTTCTGAATCTGTAAAACGGGGATGATGCGAGCTGCGATAGTGTCTGTCTCGCAGAGTCGTGGTAAGATCCAATAACTGTAATGCTCTTAGAACAGTGCCTGGGGCCAGCAGGTGGCGTGGTGGTTGGGGCACTAGACTCCCACATGGCCGACTAGGGTTTGAGTCCCAGACCTGGCGGTTTGAAAGTCAGGCAGAGCGTGTGTGCATGTGTGCCAGGATCCTGAGAGGAAAATGGAGGAGAAGGGATTCTGGTATGGCCACCCTCCTCGAAGGTGATTTCTCTCTTTCTCTCTCTCTGTCTCTCTGGGTGAGCGCACGTGACCTATAGCAAAAAGGTAAAAACAAAACAAAGCCTTTCACATAGGAAGCCCTATTTGTGTTCGCTTCTCGTTTTATGGTTATAAATTATGCACCTAAGCTGTGTAGGCCAAATGGCTTTTACGCTCCAGAGACCTGAGAAGGGAGAGTCCCCTCCCCCAAACCCATGGCTAAGTGAGTCTTTAATGGCTTCCGGGAGGGAGGAGGTGGCCCTGGGATCACGCTGGGCTGCAGAGTCAGGAGAGGGCCTGGAGAGGTAGGACAGAACTTAAGTCCCTGAAATGACAAGCTGGGCGTCTGCCCCTCCCTTTACTGCCACAAGCATACCCCAGCCTGGATGCACCCGTTTTCCTGTCTCCTCCTCACTCGGGGTCTCTGTCCCACCTCCAGGTTTCCAGAAGGCCTCGATGACACTCTATAAGAAAGAGGGAGAGCGGGTGGACCTCTCCTTCCCTCTCACCTTCGAGGACGAACACCTGCGTGGGGAGCTGCGGTGGCAGGCAGAGCGGCCCCCCTCCTCCGAGTCCTGGGTCTCCTTCTCCGTACAGGCCAAGGAGGTGACTGTGCAGGGGTCCCTCCCGGATCTCAAGCTCCAGATGGCCAAAAGCCTCCCACTCAGCATCACCCTGCCCCAGGCCCACCTGCGGCACGCCGGCTCCGGGAAGCTGACCTTGACTCTCGGCAAGGGGCAGCTGCAGCAGGACGTGAACCTTGTGGTGATGGCAGGTGAGGAAGGCCGAGGCTGGGGAGTGACAGGAGGTGGGGATAGAGCAGGAGCTGACCCTGGCCACCAAAGGGGATGCCTGGGCCCCGGTGGCCTGGCTGAGGGACGGAGGGCCCTCGGGAGTGGGGCTGGTTTTGTAAGAGCACTGAAATCTACATGTCCTTCCAACATCCGTGACTCAGCTTGGGCCGGCTCCACTGAGAACCCCTATAAATGAAGGTTCTAGTTCTGCCTCTGTCCGACCCCGCCATGGCCCTGGCTAAAGCCCTGCCCACCGTGGGCCTGCTTTCTCACCTGCCTAGTGAGCATTGTGTGTTCTTCTGGAGTAGTGATGATCACGTGACCCTCTGCTGGAGCGCCTCGCTTCCCTATCGATAGCCTTATCCTAACGGCCCCACAGAGCCTGATGGCAACGCCTGATGCTCAGTGCATGCCAGGCCCCATCACACGCCTCAAAGGTAGCCATGTGTCCGCCTCGTCCGGGGCGCGGTTGTTGAGTAACGCCCGGGGACGCACAGCTCGTAAGCAGTGGAACTGGGACTCCAGTCCAAGACCACTGGACCCCAGAGGTTGTGCTTCCTCTCTAAATCTGTGAGAACGTGGGCCCTGAGAGGCTAAAAGGAGGCCACCCATGTAAAGGGTCATGTTGATGCTTCTCCTGAATCCTCTGGGAGTCTGAAGGTGCTGGAAGTCCAGGTGTCCAGGCTCCCGGCCTCAGCCTCGGTCCCTCTGCAGTGACTCAGCTCCAGAGTAAGCTGACCTGCGAGGTGCTGGGCCCCACGCTCCCCACGCTGACGCTGAGCTGGAAGCTGAAGAATGAGTCAAAGGTCTCAAAGCAGGAGAAGGCGGTGTGGCTGCTGGACCCCGAGGCAGGGATGTGGGAGTGTCTGCTGAGTAACGGGGACCAGGTCCTGTTGACATCCAAGTTTGAAGGTGAGCATCCAGGTTCCAGGCCTCACCCCAGGCCTCCGCCTCTCAGCCGTGGGGCCTTCTGGGAGATGGTGGAGACCACCCAGAGTCCCAGCCTCCCAGTTCCTCTGAGGTGAAGGGGTTCTACGTGTGGTGGCGTGGAGACGAATGATGTGGGGGCGTGGTCCTAGGCTCTAGGTTCCCGTCTGCAGCACCACAGGGCCTCACCTCCCTAAGGTCTACAGCCCAGGAATGGGCTGCTTGACCGAGAGCTGTGTCCCTGGGTCCCCTCCGAGGCCCCCACATACCCACACCCTATGTGTACTCACACGCACACGCAGGGCTCAGGGTCTGAACCCTTGCTTCTAGGTCTCCAGAGCATCCCACAACCTCTCAAACATAAATGCCTTCCCCAGCTCTACCCTGGCAAGCCCTGGTGGCCCCGAGAGCCATGTGCACCAGCCCCTCCCTCTCTCCCAGCCCCAGGACAGCGGCCAGGCTGTCCTCGGCCCCTGCAGCGGCAGGCCGGGTGCCGAGCATACCCCTCTCTTGCAGTCTCGGCCCGACTGGTCACCCAGAGCTGGCAAACCACACTGATCGTGGCGGT